CTGTATACAGTGTCTGCTGGCCCCTGGTGTGCAGTGATGTCGACATTTGAGGCAGCAGATGTGGTACCTGCCTGCTGGTGAGAGTGAATGGCTGAGCCAGCCCAGGATGTCTGGATGCTTAAGGGAATAGTAAGAGATTATTGTTAAGCTGAAAACTTCATTTGGGAACCAGAAACAAGGAATCTCTTGAATCTTGAGCCACATATTTTTCTTGAAAAGTACGCATTTTCCTTCAAAATTTTTGTCAGGGGTCATGTTTTTGAGAGGTGAAGTGAGATGAATATAAAGTTTTATTTAATGGTGCGCTGTACTGGAAATCTGAAGACCTGCAGCAGATTTATATTCCAGCTCTTGTTACAATTTTTTGAAAGATTGTGAAATTACCAAAATGCACATGAATCAAGTTCTAATATACTGTATGATGGGTGGATGAGGCAGTCCATTGTACCATTTCCCTCCTTGGATTCTCAGGCATGGTTTGGCAGTGCAAGAACTCTGTAACATTAACAAATTCAATAAAAAGTAAATGCTAAAAAAAAAAATTAGTAACTTCAAGCGTACTGTGGCAGGAGCAGACCCCAGCCCCCAGCAACCAGCACCCTGCAGCCAGAGCAACGGCGGACACTGCACCCTAGGGACCAGTCAGCAGCAGGTGCAGGAGGTGAACCTGTGCTGTGCTTCTACACAGATGGGCAGGGCAGAAGTGGGCAGCAGGAGAGCCTGAAGTTTACTTCAGACTGATGGGGAGAACCCAGCACCAGAACAGGCCTGGGTCACTTCACTGCCAAAGCCCGGGAGGAATGAGGGAAGGGTTGTCCAGTCACTGTGGACTCCCAGCAGCTGGGAAGCAGGTGAGGGGGAGTTCTGTTGAGAGTAGGAGCTGGGACTGCTCAGACCCCATGTGAATGGATGCCAAAAGCCCCTCTTCGCCCTAAATGCAGAGGTCCGGAAATGCTCCCCAGCAGCCACGACAGCACAAGCAGCCCAGCAGCCTCACTCTCCAGCAGGATAGCTCATTGCCCTGCCCTGTGACCAGCTCTAAGAGGAGCGAGTATGTAGAACGGAGGAGTGTACATGGGTCAGGGGCAACGCTGCGCTGTCCTACCAGAGGGCATCTCAGCAATGACCTACATGGGGGAAGCGGACATTCAGGATGCATCCACTGAAGAGCAGGCCAGCCTCTACATCTAGAGCACAGGATCAGCCCCTCACCCAGCACAAAGCCCATGCCAATGTGGAGGGGCTGCAAAGAACATTCCTGAGACCTGATCCGGGCACTACCACAGATCCAAGGCCACCCGAGAAATTGTATTCTTTTTCTTTCTTAGATTGGTTTTTCCTTATTTAGGATGACAGTCTTTCTAAAAGAGAAGTTTATGGCCATACATGCCTACAGCAAAAAAAGGAGCAACTGCAGATAAGTAACCTAGCAATGCCTCTCAACGTATCTGAAAACAAGAACAAACTCAACCTAGTAGAAAGGAATAATGAATATAGAGCTGGAATTAATGAAATGGAAACGCACCAATGAAATGAAGAGGCAGTGAGTCAAAGTAAGTGTGGGAGAGAAGAAGACCTAGATGAGCTGACGCCTGGCACCAGCTGCCTGCCCCTCAGCAGGAAGTCCCGATGCTGAAGCCATGGTGCTACCGAGTCCCAGGCTCACACCCTGGCTGAGAATCACTGCTCGTGCTTCCAACAGTCTACAGAACACTCAGTGACGCCATTCACAGGAGCCTCCTGCGATCAAGCAACGCCTTGATGTTTCCCAACCTCCCGACATCCTTCCCAAACTCCTGGAATTACCTTTCCAACCCTAATTTCAAGACCTTGCTGCTATAAAGTGACATAATGATCATGGCTGTACAACTCCATACATACATTAAAAAATGGTGAACTACATGTAAATGGATGAATTTTTATCATATGGACCATATATGTCAATAAAACTAATAAAGCTACCCTTAGTAAAAAAATTTTGATTTACTTCTTCACTCATACTAGCCACATTTCCAAGTACTCCAGAAGTACACAGAGATAAGGGCACCATAATGGACAGTGCAGACACATAGAACCTTCCTGTCATCACAGAAAGTTCTACTGAACTGCACCAAAACACTAAGAGTCAAGAATTGAGAAGCAAGACTCTGGCAACTAAAGTTAGGACCAGTGAAACGATACCCATCTACATTAATTATGCTGGACCACATATACAACAGAAGCAGCCAAAGAATAAGATACAGTGAAAGACAGAAGTTAGGAGTCTCCTGCCCACCCACCTATAAAGTGAAAATGGGCAGAAGAAAAAGTAAAGCAGAAAGAAGCAAAAATTCTAGGATTTTAGGTTATTCAAAGTTTGTGCATTATTTGTCACAGCACTGCCCCAGAAATCCACTGCCTGGACTATGCTGTTTCCTCAAAAGATAAAATTTGTAATTTACATTCAAACTCCAGAAAAGAACTGACCAGGCAACCTAAAATAAGCATGGATAATTTGAGGCTGCCCGTTATTTTCACAACTAAGTAAAGACAGCATAATACATCTAAATGAAACTTTGCCTACACAAAATTAATGTTTGGAACGTCTGATGATGCTGACATTTTAAGACGATGAGTTGCTTCCCAGCTTGCAGCACACAGCTTGTTTGTTTGTTGTATACTGCCATCAAGTGGCAACAACACAGAATGCCATCTACCAAACTGCTTGTCCCTACTCTGAAAAGCCAGGGATTTTTAAAGACAAATACTGATATATTACAACGTCTGAGCGGGCAGTGTGATGTGAGGAATGCCTAAAACTCCACTTCTAGTTTGGATACCGCAACAATAACTCTCTTGTAAGCAATTCATTTTGTTAGAGCATCTGCCACTCAGGAGTCACGTGACTTTGAACCCGTGGGTGCGCTTTTCCACTTAGGCTTGCTACTCATCCACAAAATGTGGCTAAATTATAACTTACACTGAAGAAAAGAGTGTGACTATTCAAGGAGATATAAAATAAGTAAAACAGTCCAGGCACATAGTGTTCAATAAAGATTGATTTCAACTTAAGATTTGCCTATTAAAATGCAACATTATGGGGCTGGTGAGATGGCTCAGTGGTCTAAAGCACCTACTTAGAACAAGCTTAGCAAAGCACAGGGACCGCGGTTCAATCCCCAGCACCACATGCCAGCCAGCCCCGCCCCCTGGTGGGCTGAGCTGACCACACACACACACACACACACACATAAATAAATAAAATTTTTTAAAAATAATAATATAAAAATAAATAAATAAAATACAACATCAAGAGCTGGGGAGATGGCTCAGTGGAATAAGCGCTTCCCTGGCAAGCGCAAGGGCCTGAGTTCAATCCCCGGTTCCGCAAAAAAATACAACATCAAAAGAAGATATGATGTGGTTGTCAATCTGCCATCTGCTTTTCAAGTTGACAGCAATGTGAAAACAAGCCTCTGGAAAAGTCAGAAAATACATCCAGGTAACTGGAAATCAAAAGCCTTCCCCACCTTCCTCACACTAGCCCAGACGCTCGCCCCACTGGGAATGTGCACACACCCCCAAAAGGCCCCGTGACACTGCCAACTCCATCACTTTTGTTTCTCCAGTACATTTGTCAGAAAAAGCGAAGTTAAGGGTACCGTGCCAGTGGTAGTACTTCCTCTCCCTACCATGACCCCCAGGTGCTCATCTGGCCCTACACCTTGTCCTGACTATTCAGAGTCCCTTTCCTGGGGTGGTGCACACCTACAACCCCAGCACTGGGGAGGCTGAAGCAGAGACCCTGCGTACCTCGTATTTCCTTATGTAAGCTCTAATAACTTGCAACTACTTAACAAGCAATCAAATAACTTTATAAGGCAAATGGTTCCAAACTATCTTTTTTAGTCTACCAGAATGCCTCATACAATGTTTCAGAATTTCAATCTGGCAGAAATTCAAGTCAGATAAGTTTTTCCAATGCTATGGCTGAATAATAAAACTTCCTGTCTAGCATTTCCTCTCCCTACCATGACCCCCAGGTGCTCATCTGGCCCTACACCTTGTCCTGACTACTCAGAGTCCCTTTGCTGGCCCAACGCACAGCCTGTCAAAGCCTGCAAGCCCTGCTCCAGAGGGAAGGCCCGGCTCTCGCCTCCGTAACAGACTTTTGCTGTAGTCTTCGGCCACAGCTGCAGAAAGGGTCTACTCAGAGCACGGCAGCTCCAGTAAGGAGGACAGCTGTTCAATGGCCACTACACATTTCACCGACGTCTCAAACAGGCAACTTGCAGACCTCTAAAGACGCTTCCTAACGTCTCGGGAGTATTCCGGCAGATGAAGCTGGATGGACCTCTCTTTTACTCAGACCACCTTGTCCATTTTCCTCGCAGCTAGCCCCAGCTGCACCCACCTCAACTTGTTGCCAGTTCCTAGCTGGCAGAGCAGAAAGGTTAAGCCATCCCCAAAGGGAAAAGAGGGCAGAGCCCAAAGCCTGGGGAACAGGAACAAGTCGCAAGGATCCCCCTCTTCACCCTACAAGGAGGTGGGAAGAGCACAGCTGAGACGGGGTAGGTGGGCGCACCTCTGGTCCCCCTGCAGCCCTCACAGCGCACAGACGTGGCAGGCACCAGGCAGCTGCACACCCGCCAGCGCACACCTCCTGGTCAGAAGCCACAGCTTGTGCGCCCACTGACGAGTGAGGAGGGTAACCTGATTCTCACCTGCTCCAGCGCATTCCCAAATTTCAAATCCTATTTGATTCTCAGGTCTAAATTGAGCGGCCAAAAAAACAAGAACAGGGAAGGACAGCTCTTGTGCCTGCCACAGAACAAGCGATCAGCACAGACCCTAAATATGTATCTAGGCAATGCAGTTAACCTAACTGGGTGGACACTTCGTATCTACAGATTTACATTTTAAGAACTGGTAAACACCTTCAAAATTTTATGTATCTGTGACTCAAAATAATTATTTTCAGGGTGTTAGAAAGCTGGTGAATTAAGGAGGAAGGTACTTACATCACTTGAAGAGACTGTTCCTGTTTCAACAGCAACACCGCTGCCACGAAGTTTCTATTGTGAAATAAATGACTTATTACTTAGTTTTGTTTTAAACTGTATCCTAATTTACAAAGGAAGCCACGCGAATTTTATAATTATTTTCCCTAATCCTACTTTATAAAAAGCATGAGGATGATATCGAACATTCTAAATATTATACTCGTCCAGATAATATCTTAAGGTACCACTAAAAATGGAATAATAAACAATTTGAATGCCAAGCTTCAGGTAAATTCCATAAGTGAAGCTAGCAGAAATCTCCAACTCAGGATTCACTAGTGAATATTTTTTCTAATAAGATGACCGTCTTACACTGAACTAGCTACAGCACATCCTGTGGCACAGCTTTTCAAAACACGGGCCTGGTAACAGGAAGATACTACAGGACTCAAAATGAGGCTTTCCACAGCAATGCTAATAATGCTAGTAACAATCATCATATCAGATGTTATATAGAATGACCAAAGAAAAAAGAAGTTAGAAAGTCAAAGGCTGAAAGTCCAAAAAAGAGAGAGAGAGAGAGAGAGAGAGAGAGAGAGAGAGAGAGAGATCATGAACTTCTGAGAGGAAATGTTTATTTTCCTTTATTCAATTACTATCAAGTGTGTATCTGCCAAAAATTTGTATTATAAAGTCAAAGAACAAAATATTCAAATTTGCAACTTGGACTTTTTGAAAGTTTATTTCTCTCAGAATCAAGAAAATACAGTCATTTTTATGAGAAATAAAACATATATGATAGAGAAAAATGACACTTGTAGCAGTAATATCTGAGAAAGACAGCAAATAATCCTGTTACTTTCTTCAAACACGAAGTCTCTGATCTAATCCTGACAAAAGGCTAGGGAAGTGTCTCCCCATTCCAAGAGACAGTACAGGCAGAGCCATACAGAAGCAGTTCTCAGACTGGGAAGCAAAGCCAGACAAAGCCCGGTGCCCTGGAACGTGACCAGCAGTTGGGCTTGCAAAACAGAAATGCCAAACTCGACTGAAAGCCAAAGAGCAGGACAGGAAGTGTATATAAGAAAGACACACAAAAGGTCTTGAAGGGCACTTATCTAAAACCAAAGCGGTCAATTCTAATGAAAACTGTGAGAGACACTGAAGTATTTCCTCACATTCGTGATGAAAGAAGCAAGCTCCGCCAGTAGCTGGCCACGACTGCAGCCTGTACCTATGTTCAGCCACTCCCCCAGCAACAGCCCACGCTGAGGCACTACTGGACGACTGCGCCAGGAGCACAAGGCTCAGGCGAAACTGCCTCAAAAGCTAACGGCAAACTACAGCAGCGCACTCTTCCCTATCAATTTTCACTGTACAGTACAACCCTACCAGGCGCCAGCACCCATAAAAGCAGGATGAGTCTTATTTAAAAGGAGAGCTAATTTCAAAACCAAAAACAAAGGGAAGGGTGTGTTTCCTATTCAAGCATTCTGAGTCCAATGATACCCATTTAGAAATTTGAATCTCACTGTCACACGTCTACTTTTCTATTTTAAATGTCTGCTTTTAAAATGCCCTCACAAATTCCATAAAATTTTCAAATTGATGACCCTTATAAAAATACTTTATAAAGTAACTAAGCCCACAGGAGTTAAAATTGATACTATAGTCATTAAAAAGTTAATTTTATTCAAGACCCTCCAAATACAAAAAGCAAGTAGCCCAAAATAAGGCAAACAATAGTAAGACAAAAATAATTCTAAGTGAAATATCATGGTATCTCTCTTATGCCTTAAATTAAAATCTATTAAAATAATGGTGCGACCAGAAATCTAAATTATAACTCTCCAAAGCTTTATCCCAAATAGACATTCACTAGCCTAACAATGAGGGCAGGACACCTGTCCACATTACCCTCCTGCCCCCAGGCCTTCTGCCGCCCACCACTCCCCAAACCTCACCTCCCCCAGAGCAGCTCTCTCCCGCTCACCCTCAGCACTTCCCTTCTGAGCACCACACACACCCCCAAGCCTTCTTCACACCACTCATGGTCGTGGGAGGCCTGAAACACTCCAGGAGCCACCACAGATGTCCTGTCTTTTCCCCATTCTCAGGATTCATGGAGATAAACACAGAGAACTCCTCACTCTCCGAGCCATTACATAAACTTTTTCAGCCACAGAGAAGAGCCAGACAGACATCAAAGCAAGCACGGTGACCCACAGCAGGCCGCATGTCTGACGTCCAGCCTCCCTACTCAGTCCTACAGCCACACTGCAGTATCATGAGCATGAGCCACTCAAGAAAGAGAACCACCTCACAGCTGGGCTGGGCAGCTCCAGACTGACCCAGAGACACCTGCAAGCCAGACACAGAGTCCTGGCCAAGCCAAGGACGAGCAGATGGACTAACAAGCTGCACACGTGCTGTTTGCAGTTTGAAGCTCCACAATGGCACTCAGAGCCAGTTTGTTTACTGATACATCCAGTGAGACAGTCTGACCTGTTTATGTAACCAAAAGGGCATGAAAGACCTCACAGGGGACATTCAAAGAGCTGTTCCAAAAGCAACACCTCTTGCTCAGATCCTGGTAGTTCGAAATCCCCAGGCAGAAGCGGAAGCTGCGCCAGGAATTCCCTGGGCTTGGAGCTTCCCCGCGCGCTCTCCTGCAGCATCACCCCTTTCCTGGGGAAGAGCCCCACACGAGCACGCGCCTTGCAGTTGTGTAGGGACGTTCCGTTCTCCAGTCAATCCTGCAGCTGCCTAGACAGAAGGCATTCCCTGCCCACTGGAAATCAAGAGTGAGAAACAACAGCGGCAGAAGAGACAGGAAGGTCTGAAATGAAGGCAGGTCAAGAAAGGAGGAAGGAGGCGGGCTACCACGCCCACGAGGAGTCTGGCTTCTGTAGCAAGTACCAGATGGCAGGATTTTAATAAAATGGTTTTTAAAAGTTACCGCCTTTACTGTAAATAACTTCAGAGAACATGTAAGCTACATTTTTTTTAAAGACACTAAGCGAAATCTGTTACCTGTGAACTCAGCTGAGTTTTTATCCAGTTGAAGTAGTAATTTAAGTCACTGCCTTCCATCAGTTCTCTTCCCCAAGCTGCTAACTTGGCAATTATTCTTGCTGCCTGAAAATCAGTAAGAAATATATTTGAATACCACAGTGAGCCTAAAAATCCCATCACACACCTTTACAGCCAGAGCTTATAATCACTTTGATGCATGATTTTAGTTAACATTCAATTCCCACAAAAATGTCTACAATGCATCTTCTATAATTTATTCTTAAACCGGGCACAGCGGCACATGCCTATAACCCCACACTCAGGAGGGTGAGGCAGGAGGACCGCTGTGAGCCCAAGACCATCCTGGGCTACAAAGTGAGCTCAAGGCCAGCCTGAGGTGCACAGCAAGATTCTGTCTCCAAAAGACAAAAAAAGATACAATTTATTCTTACATACAAACATTCAAAATATGTTTTAAAATATATTTCTATGAAACTGAACTGAATTAGCTGTGTTTTAAGAATTGCAGGACACTCCTCAGATTTCTTTTGCATTTCAAAAGTAAGATTCAGGATTCATTTTAAAACCAGCAAAAAACTTTGAGAAAGTAAACAACCTCCTTAAAGGGACTACTGTGAGGAACTTAGAGACTGACAATATTAGCAGCAGTGCAGCAGAAGCAAAAGGAAAGACAGGAACAAGAGCTCTTGCGTCGTCCTGAGAAGCTCCGTCAGCACATGGCAATCCACAGGGATCTGACCCTCAAAGGTCTACAGACCGGCCGAAAGGAACTTCACTCATCAACAAGTTAACCCAGCCAGGGAGACAGCCCAGCAGAATAAGCACCTACCTGGCAAGCACAAGGCCCCAAGCCTGACCCCTCGCCCAGTACCAAAAGAAAATTAACCTGGATTTAGCTGTACACTTAATAATAACAATGAACTTGCCCTGAGTATATGCTCTTTGTCTTTTTTCTTTTATTTCATGGTGCTGGGGATCAAACCCAGGGCCTTATACATGCATGGAAAGATCTCTACAACGAAGCACATTCTTAGCTTCTGGGCATTCTGTAATATATCTGTCAATTTTACTGTAACACAGAAAGCTATTTAAACCAGGCATCTAGCCTTTTCAATTTTAAAGAATATATTACTGATTTTTAAAAATTTTTTCCTGAAAAATATGTTCTTTTTGTTTTTATAAAAGATTAATATGCTATTCAATATTCAAATTTACTAGTATATAAATATAGATAGATATGGAGAACGGAGAGAAGACAGAGACAGACAGAGAGAGGCAGGGAGAGAGAGAGAGAGAGAGAGAGAGAACACTGAAAGGCGGGCACTGACACGAGAGGTCGCAGAGCTCCTGCCGCCTGGTGCAGCGTGCCCCCACGCGAGAGGGGAAGGCAGCGTGCACACAGGTCTGTCCTCACAGCTCCCCCTCGCCCCTTAGGGATCCCAAAGGCTCTGCAGTGTTAGCACTGCCAGACACAGTTCTTGCAGCTAAGTTTAAAATGAGCGTGCTTAAGATATCAGAAAGCGGGCTGGAGAGATGGCTCAGTGGTCTAAAGCACCTACTTAGAACAAGCTT